ATAACTCGAGGTGACAAACCCATTGGGCAACACTCGAACTAAAAGGCTACGACTATATTAAAATGGCTCGTAGACGTCCGAAACCCGTAACAAAAAGTACCGTTGGAAAATTATAAATCTAAGGAATTATAAGTACTTTGGGTAAAATTTCCAGTCATACTGGATTCCCACAATGCCTTAGAAAAAATGAAATCAAAGGCAAAACCTGTTCGAAACTCCGAACATGGCTATTTAATGCTAACGCGTTTCAATCTCTACAAAACATAAAAAGAAAGGAAAATGAAAAACTCGAGAATTATCAAAGAGAAATAGAAAATTTGTATTTATGAAGTATAATCTTTACAAAGGCCAAACTACTCTGACAAAGAATACTAAATGCAAAAAGAAAAGAAACAAAATCAAATAGAGGCATTTAAGCAGTCTAATCTTGGCCAGAGCCCACCTCGTCACTGGGATTCCCGGAGTCTTCTCCACTCTTGGACCTGCTTGAGTCCTCAGAATCGTCCTCCTCGGGATAGGCCAGCTTCCTCGCCTCAGCTTCGAGCACCTTGGCATTCTCGATCTTAGCCGATAAATCAAAACCCTGAGCGTGAACTTCCTCGAGGGCCTCCCTTCGGGATAACAACTTCATATGCTCAACTACGTTTTTTACAAGGTCCTGAGCCGCCTCGGCATCAGCCTTGTACCGAGCCACCATTTCATCAGCATCGGCTTGGACCACAACGACCTCTAACTTGGCTGTTTTAAGCTCCTTGGCGAGATTTTCTCGATCTGAGACAATCGAACCTAACCGGGATTGGAGCTGCTCAACCTTTTTGGTCTGAACCTCGGCCCTCTCCTTTGCCGCTCTAAGTTGGATTTCAGCCGAAGTTAGTTGCACCCGAGCAGCCTTTTGTTTCGAGGCCAGACGATCCATTGTGCCTCTCCATTATTCGGTCTCAGCTTTGACTATATCTATTTCAGCTCGGAGCTGGTCAATACGATCGAGTTTTTGCTGGACCTGCGGATTTTGACCATCAGTTACCAAATCAAATTCATCATCACTAACTTTAAAAACTTTTACCTGCTCGACCAAATCAGCATGTTCCTTCCGAGCAACTTCCCGCTCGGCACAGAGGTTCTTAACCTCCCGCTCGAACAGGTCGCTAAGAAGTTTAAAGGCATCTCTCTTCTTAGTGAGCTCTCGAACTTCAGCTTCGAGTTATTTTAGCTCGTCCCGGTATCTTAAAAAGGTTTCGTGATGAAGCACCGAGGCCTACGAGCACGAACAGAAACAATAAGTTATTTACTAAATAATCTAAGTGTAAATCAAAAAATCAATTAGGAAAGCATGAAGTTACCCGGTTTAGTGCCTGTTGTGCTTCGTTGAAAAGGCATGTAGAATCCATCTTGTTCATCTTGGCTTGATCATCCTCCATCAGCAGACACTGAAGATAACTGGCCACCCCTACGGGAGGCGGAGAGGACTCGGGCATCCTCCGGAAGGGAGATAACAATTGATAGCTTCCGATCGGGATTAGCACTTGGGGCAGGAAATCAATC